ATACATACATATATATATATATACTTGCTGGTATGCTTTTTTGAATACAGGCAACCTATTTCAAATGACCAAATGAGGTCTCTCACTTCGCTAGTTTACAATTACTCAAAATGTTTATTTTTTTTCCTCTTCTCACTTTGTGATGAGAGGGATGGCGAGTGCATGGGAGGGGCTGCTCCGTATCACAGCCTTATCTTTTTTAACTTGACATCCTAACCTCATAGATAGAGTAACATCAGAAGCGTTTGAAATATACGAACTTGTTTATATTTGCAGTACATGTATATGTATAACAAGCATTCAAGCAAATGTATTCATATATATACAGTATATATGGATAAATAGATAATAATCACAAACAAATATATGTATTTATATGCACATATTTTATATATGTGTGTCTGTACATAGAGCGGCTACTGACGACGTTGCGCTGTAATTTTTTTTTTTTTTTTTTTTTTTGTAGATTTTAGCTGGAGTTTGAAACATTGCTCTGCTTGGGAAGAATCGCAAAATCTGGCAGCTCCCAAAACTGCAGGCATTCCTATATCTGATAACCTATATGCTGACACTCGATATAACGCTAAAAGATTACATGTGCGAGAAAACACACGGTGTAAATATTGTCTGAAGATGCAAAAAGCCACATCACAGTAGCAGGCTTTAAGAGAATCAGGCTGAATGATTTTAGAGATAAAGGACAAATATCTTCGACTCTATTCCAAACATATCTCTTGTGCATTCATAAACACACAAACACAAACACACAGATACACACACACACATGCAAACTTCTCTTTGAAACTTGAACCAAAAGGAAAACGTCTCACAACCCTTTTCTCTCTTTTGCATTAAGTAAAGTGCATGTAGCGTATGGGCTGTCACCACGTCAAGGTGTGCCTTGTCACCTGCAGAATCTGCCATCAAGCACTGTGCTCTCGGAAAATGAAGAAAAAAAAAAACTCAACTGAAAACACACTCCTGCAAGCAGCCAATGCGCTACTATGATGTCAAAACAGTTCCATATCATTTCTTAGCGATGTAGAAAGCTTCACTGCATGTCCTGTATTACAAACCGACCGACCCACGTTGGTCCTTCACACTGTCTTGGGGGGAGGGGTAAAAAAAATGCATTTAGTGACTGACGTAGATTCATGTTCATACATGTCAAATAAAAGTGGGCATTAGGGCCACCTGTCAGCACAGGTACTATCTTAGCTTTTTTACTGGCTGGTGTCAAAACCAGAGTAAAAGTCAAGGTTTGGGACTGATGCTGCCTGATGGGTAGAACTGTAAATGGACTTGACATTAGGTTTTAATGGTCACGAAGTAGATGAAATGTTGATGAATATGGTACGATTAGAAGAGAGCAGTGGCTTCCTACTGCATGAACAGAGGAGGCTTTATGGACTTTCCCATTCAGCAGCAAACGCACCGCTCTGCGCTCTGACATGAAGCATCTCGTCTTCACAGGTCGTTATATTGCCTTGTGTTACGTGTCATTGCACGATTAAATACAAACATAAAAGCATAACGAAACTGTAAAATGAAGCAATAAGTGTGAAAAGCCATTCATCCATTGCCGGTGCTGCTGCACAGAGGTTCGGGTTCACATTGTTTTAGCGTACAGTCTTATAACAGCTGACAAGAATGGTACGAACGCCGACTGCACACCTGCAAAAGGTCAACAGACGGAGATTCCTTGGACCCAGGGCTTAACACATTTTCAGCTGGTGGAGATTACTCGATGAATATTTATATCTATGAATATTTATAAGGCTATATGACACTTAGGAAGACAATGCTTCCTGTTGGGTGCTGTTACTAGTTTTCCTGTAAACTGCTCATTATACCGTTTCCCCGGCGTCTGTGTCTAACCTTTTTCGCAGATTGAATTATTTAGCATTTACCTTTCGAATCCAGTGAGGCTTAAAGATGACGGCATCACATCCGAGGACATTTGGGTTTGTATGCCATTTCCTAACAGCCTAAGTTTGGCATACAACGCTCAACCAGGAGACCATCTGGTTTATGTTGGGTTGGTTAGTAACAGCAACCTCAGCTGTAATGGAGCTTTTTAAAAACAACTGGAGCTAAACTTAATTCGCCTGGTATCTGTCATCAACTCGCTGGGTGCCCCCCGAGCAGTGGTTCAATTCCTGGACCGGTTGGGGGAGGGTTTATTGGAATAAGAACGAGGAAAGCAAAACAGGAACGGGATCTAGAATGTCACCAACTTCATCTTCATGTGCTCCAACTTTAAGCTGCAAGTTTACATTAGACAAGCTGAACACGTAGTGGTCCAAAAAAAAACAAGAAACAGAGCAGAGGTTTGAACATTAATTTCTATATATATATAAATATATAAATATATACATAAACTGATGAATATACTGTAAATTGTTTCTTTTTTGCTCTGGTTTCCTCTGTACAAAGGTTTGCATATTTTATAGGACTTTTACTTCTATCTACAAGGACTGGATAAAAAATACTTTAAATACTTAAAAAAATACACATATATATATATATATATATATATATATATATATATATATATATATATATATATATATATGAATGAAAACATGATAATGCTCATTAAACCCAGGTACAAAAAAGTAGTTGATAGAATACGGTTTAAAACTGTAGGACATGACCAAGGCATTTATCCAGAATACAGTCAGGGAGAGCATTGACCTCAGTTAGAGCTTAGACACATGTATTTTATAAAAACAAAAAATGGAACAAAATACTTTGATGGGTTCTATTCAGTTATCTATTTGTTTAGATATTTATTTATAAGTCATGTCTAAGATGAAATGCATGTTTTCATGGCATTATTTTTTTATGAGTTGGTACGTGACCAAATAGTTTTTTATAAAAGATGCATGGGCCACTGACGTGGTCCACAGATGATCATTGTTCCTGTCTGCAGGGCCATGCCTTCAGCACTTCTTTGATATTGGTGAAAAGCTCCTATTGACCAAGTGATGTCAATGAATTTAATTGCTAATTTATCTATTTAATTTATGAATGTTGGTTTGGTTTTTATTTATTTATTTATATATTTTATCATCTGTGCTTTATTCAAGATCCGAGCTCTAACTTCTCACCCGGTCCAAATTCATCATATTTTACCACTGTAGGTGCTGGGATATTCTAGTCATATTTTTTTCTGATGCTGATCAACTATTCATATGAAATAACTGTTGGGGGGAAAAAACTTGATGCAATTCTGCAGCCTTACCTACATGTGTAATTGAAAAAGAAAGCCAGAATCAAAGCAATGTTCAGAAAGTATGGCAAGGTTGTGAAAAAGCTGCTGACCCAGAGGTTTTATTTTTATTTTTTTCGGGGTTTTCCAAACATAGTGAAATCAACTCTTGGTTTAACACATCCCAAGAAATGAACCACTCATCAAATGAACGCTCAGAAGAAAATAAAAAGTTCCTGTGCAGTGGTGTGCAGTGAGCCAGCATGTTTCCCTTTTAATCCAAGGCTAAACCTAAGGTTAAAGGTCACCACCACTCAACCTCTTAACATTCTGCAGTGAATGATTTGACAGAGCTCTGATCTTGAAGTGATGTGGTCCGCCAAGAGCAAAATTCAATGACAACTGTATCATGTCATCCAAAAACAAAAAGTGTTATTACTTTTTCCAAGTGCTGCCGTCTGTGGTTTCATATCCAGAGATCGGTCGTGTTCCCAGAATCATGTTTTTCTTCATATGATTTTCAAAGTATTCTGGAAATCTCTTTCCCAGTTCAGCACATACGGAAGGAGGGGAAATGAATGTTGCTTATTAAGCTTTGCCAGGGTCCCGATGAGCTGAGCTTCTAATTGGGCAGTGCGCTTTAGGCCCCCGACTCTCCAGACTGCACCGTTCTCTGGTCCCCTGGACTGTTTTTGTAATTTTAAATGAATGATGCGTCTCAGCTTAGCCCAATAATAAAGCACAGTCTAGAATTGAGTGTCCTGTGTTCTGTCGTAATTACAGCTATCGACACACTGCACGTCAAATGTTCGCCGATCCAGACTTTAAAGTGTTTTTCTTTCAAGAAGTAATAAAGTAATTTTATTTTCCAACAACAACCAATGGGAAGACATGGACAGACTTATGATGGTTGTAGCTTCTATATTACAGCTTCATAAATTAACATTTTTATTTGGAGCTTTAGTCAGCTCTTTTGCTGCAAAGGTCTCCAAATATCTTAATTACAAACAAGAAACCAATTTCAATAAATAAAATTGTTTATTAAAGAAAATTGCAACAGAAAAACATAAAAGCCAAGTAATTTAATATTTAAAGTAGAAAATTAAATTAGGATATTTTAAAAAGTTACGACCAGAATAAAATGAGGAGAGTGGATTTGTTTTTTTTCCTGATTTTCTTCCATGTCAGCAAATGAAGAAAATATCCTCAAGGATTTGGCTTTCCTCCAGGTCCTGCTCAGTTGTCTGAGGTTTACGCCTTGTAGAGGTGAGCAGGTTTCTGCCTCCTGGTTTTGGCGTAGTGAGGGCAAGTCTGCTTTGTGTCACTTTGGTCTTTTGGTGGGATGGAATACTCTGCTCACGGACAGAAACAGGACTCAAGATGTCCAGTAACTCAACCAGAGAGAAGTCTGATCTGGAAGGAAAAGATGATATTTGTCATTTACTACCTTCTTGTTACTGCAGACAACTTCAAATTAATTATTTTTTTACAACATTTGCAAGACCCTGTTGAAGGTGAAGTGACAGCTAAACCCTAACAAGCAGCCGTAACTGGTTAAATTGCAAGAACGTCTGACAGGAAAGTCGTTTCTTGTAGGTGGAAGAGAAAAAGAGAAAGGGATCGGGGCTTTCTCCCCTGGAATAGGAATGAGGGAATGTGCAGTGAAATAAATAAACCAAAACGGGGGAGATTAAGCTAATAGAGATTCAATCCCTCAGTCTGCCTGGCTTGATAAATTATTCAGTGTATACACAGCCGACAACAGCCGTTTCAGATACAAAACATGAATTCTTTAAAGCATGGTCCGCTCATGTTGCTAACATAATTCTCTGCACATTAAAGCTGCATCGATTTCCATCGCGCACGGCTCCCAGATTTGGGAAAACTTTGCCATGCTCATGTTGATATGCAGGTGGGAAGTCAGCATGTGGACACGTGTGCAACTTCCAATCAGACCTTGATGTGCAGATTTTCTTTTTTTTTTTTTCAACATTGATTTTTTTTCTTCCACAGGCAGTACACAGTTGTGGCTGAAAAGCATTAAAAGTAAGTGTTCTGCTTTGGAAACATGTTTGCATGGGCATTAGCACGAGGGAGAAAGAGTGAATGAGGAGAAAGTTAGCCGAGGAATGAAAAGTGATGAAAGAAGAAGACTGGGGCTGAAGAAAGTAAATCTGTCTTCCTCATTTGGTCTTCTGCCTGTCAAATGCAAAGCAGATAGAGAAGACGCGAGGCGAGCAGGAGCAGGAGCAGCGGCGGATGTGTCTAAGGCTGGGAGTGAGAGCGGCTGTGTGGATGCAGAGACAGGCAGAAAGAGAATGCGGAGGAGGGACTTTGGCTGGGATCCGTCTTTCCAAATGTGAGAATTTGCATTTTTATTTGTTGATTTATTTAACAGACAGCGCTCTCAAACAGCCATCCATCAGCAAACGACACGTTAGTAATGAATAATGCATCACTTACCAGACGGTCACAATATATACCATGGAGTGGGGAGGAGGAGGGGGCGCACAGAGGGTAGAAGGGTACAGTTTGGGTATGGAATGGTGCGGAATGGTGCAGTACGCAAGTGCCACAGAGAATGTCAGTGAATTATTCAGAGGCACTTGACTTTTATTTCTTGTACTGAGTTTTCTCTAATGTTATAAGTCTAATAAGTTGTTGTAATTGTATCTCCAGTGCAGCCACATGCACACAGAGAAAGTTCTGTTAACTTCTCCAAGACAAATGTCCCTGAAGTCAACACTCAGAGTATTTTATCAACATGTGCAGACGGTTCACTCTTTGTATTCTTTAGCTTCTTATTAAAATGAGTCGTGACTCCACACAAGCATTCTGATGCAATTATTTAAATTAGTCCTTTGAAACGGGTTTTTTTTAAAATGCTTTAAGTGAAAACACTGACTCTTTTTTTCTACCAATCCTCTTTTACGGTGTTTCTGCTTCTCAAACGCGAAACACCACATTAACCACCACCTTCTCAGCACGCACGTCTTTAACGGTATATTAGGCATCTCTCTCTCTCTCTCTCTCTCTCTCTAACAACGGCCGTGTCTGACCGCCACCTCTGTCATTTGCATTCCAAACAGTTAGATGCCAAACCTATAATGGCCACAGCGTCTATGCCGCATGACAATTTCCGACCCAATCAATAGCAGGCGGGCGATGGCAGGAAGAGTGGTGTTGTGATGAGGAGGGCACACTGGAACTGTCTCATTACAACTTGGATTCATGAAAGGATTAAAGAGGTCACTTGATGTTAATGTGCCAAGTTGTTTTCATGCTTTTCTTGAACGGATTACTGATTTTGCTTGTTGAATGGTGTGTACCTTCTATACAATCAAGAATCAATAACCTCAATTTATAATTACTAATTGTAAATGTAACTGTTATTTAACGAGGCACAATTCAAAGATGAATCGTTACTTTTTAAGCCTCATTTGTTTTTGAATTTCCACAGATTTTTTTTGCATCAACACTGCATTTAATCTTTCTCTGAATCCTGAATAACAACACATAGACTCCTTTCTTTTTAGAATTCTGAGACTTAAGTCAAACTTCGGATTTTAATCTCATGTGATTCTGATTTCCTTCGTCATTCCCACAGGAAAAGCCAATCCTCGCACACTGTCGTTTATTACTGTTCCTGCAAATCCTCTCTCATTTCTTATGTCTTTCTTCCCATTTCAATTTATACCCCACCATCTCCACCTGCTCTTACTTTCTTCATTTCCTGTTTCTCACTTTATCCAATTCTTTTACCCCTCACTCACCCTCAAACACACATTTAAGATCTCGCTCTCTTGCTCTCTCTCTTCCTCTCACTCTCATTTTTTTCCTGTCTCATTACTGTGGCAGAGAGAGAAGGGAAGGCAGTGTGTGCATTCAGGAGTCTGTTCAATTACACCTGCTGCACGGTTCCTGCTAGGTCGACTAATGGAACGCAGCATGTCTCCTGACAGGCAGGCCATAGTGCTAGGTAGACCAGGAAAGCTTCATTTAGTTCTCCACAGCTCCAAAAGTTAGCTTGACTAAGAAATGATATCACTTAACCTCTGAGACAGCAACAACTGCAGTTTTCAAGAAACTACCCAAAAGTCCAACTTTATGTTTAATCTTATAATTTTTACAGCATTTGTTGTAACACCACAAAACAGCTAAACAGAAGACATGAATTACATCTACCGTTATAAGAACTGATGTTACATTACTGCCTTTTGATGTCACCCGACTGTTCTGACAGGATGACATTATGATATTTGAATTGATTATGAATAATCATGATTAATTACAACAGTAATTAATCATGATTAGTCCTGATCAGCCACCCATTAATTTGAGTAGATTTGAGTAAATTGACAGCCCTAATAAAAACATAAAACAAAGGTTAAGCGGTGCAGGAATATGTTACAAATGTGTAATTTACCTGGCCGTGGGGGTCTTGGGGACTGCAGATGTGGACCTGTGCTTACTCAGGCTTTCCGGAGACTTCAGGGGGGATGTGGCTATGTCCTTAGTGGTCTGCTCTGCTGGGAATTGCAAAAGACGTTTTATTTGCAGCAAGGATGAGAGCAGTGAGAGCAATTTTTTTCTTACAGTCATTCTCTTGAAGAATGCTGACAAAATTTTCCATGGAAACAAAGACAATCAAATTCTCCTCAGATATAATGTTCTAAGCAAAGACAATGCTCTATGTGTAGACTATTAGGAACAGATTTAAATGGAACAAAAAAACACAAGAATGTCACTCACCACATGTGGGCTGACTCTTGTCTACAGAAGCAGGGACCTCTTCAGTCACACTGCAGATGACGAACAACATTTTACAATTGATTTTCTTCTGTGACTTAAGTATGCGCATGATCAGTACAAGCATGCATACATAAGTGCATGCACTGAACAGCTGGAGTGTCGGTCTTTCTTCCTACTTAGGTTACCTGGAGGGTAGATCTTGGTAGGGGGGCTGCTCCAGCTGTGGATCTCCATTCCTCATATTTGAGAGGCTGAGCTCTGCCTGAGAAGGAGCTTGCTGGGACCTGAAGAGGAAGGAAAGTATGGATTAAAAAACACTCAAAAGCGAACAAAAGTCCTGAGACTTATGTTTTGAAGCTACCTACACTATCACCTACACTTGGGACAAATGAGTACTGCTACTGCACCATAACACTATACCGTACCAATACCGTAACATATGACAGCACAGCAGAATACGACCTGTGACTGTTAACTACAGTGTTATAACATTCAGTTCTTTCTTCCACAGCCCTTGCGTTCTACCTGCTGTAATCCAAGCGTGTCTGCCGTAGCTGCTGATTCTGTCTGTTGAGCCTCTCTTCTTGTTCCTCAAGTCGTGCCTGCAGCCTCTCTCTCTCCATCTCCAGCTGCATCTTTTGCATCAGCAACTGATGCCTCTTCACTTCCCAGTCCCCGTGACCCAGCAGTGGACTGGTCAGTGCTTCAGTACCATCTGACCTGACAGCGGCCCCACTCTGGACTCTGAAGGTAAACACAAGTATGTTTTGCTTACATTCCAAACATAAGTTTTGCTGTTTCTTGATTAAATGAAGACTTTGTTTGAAAGTGTGGTGAGGTTTTACAGGGGTGACAAGAAGCTGCCATACCTTTCAGAGTAATGTGGTTTGGAAGCATCAGAGACATTAAGGTGGTCGTTTATTTGACAACAGCCTTTATGATAGCACTGTTGCTTTGTTCTGTAGCTACTGTGGTCACCACTGCTGTGGCAATGGTAACATCTGTAACAGGCCTCAATGTGTGGTCCCTTGTGCTCTTCTTTCTGAAAGCCATGCTGTTCGATGGATCCATCCCTTGGTCTGATCTCGCTAACAAACGGCATTGGGCCAGGGTTTCTTGCTGCCTGTGCTGCCCCATTAGTGTGAACCTGAGGTTGATGGACTTGGGGAGCAAAGCTGAGGTATGAGCCATCATGTAGTAAGCCATTAGCTCTGGTAGAAGAAGCACTACTGTAGGCCACATCACTATTGAACACCTGGAGAGAGTGGAGGAAAAAAGACTGTTTTTACCAATTAAGAAGTAGGCTATAATTCATTAGTAATTCAACTAAATCACTACAGCAAACCTAACCATAATCCCATAATAATTCTGATTAGAGTAAAATACAATAAAAAAAATATATTTTTTTTTTATTTCACAAATTAGTTTATGTAATAAATTAAATCTTGCATATTTAAACTCGAAATATGCGAAAAGTTTCAACTGAAAATTTATGTCTGGTAACAGTTGGTCAGCAGTATTATGACATAAACATAAAAGGAAAAGGGCATCCAACATTTGATTGGCGAAGAGACAATGACAAATTTCTTGAAGGTCAAAGTGCAGGGAAACACATTACTCACAGCCACCACAGGATGATGTGGCGTTTGGTTAAAGCATTGTTTCTTACAGTGACTGCAGCCAGAGAAGCCTCTTCACTTACAAAGACTGTCACCTTTACAGGGTTTGGATTACACCGCAGTTCTGTCATAGGCAGTCTTGCGTAGTATTGGACAGACATTGTGATCAAATTTGGACCCATAAACGTACTGATGCACTTCCACATCAAGATGTTTGTTAAACTGAGTATTTGTACTGCAGATCTTCAAGAGTATATGCACTCACCACAAATTCATACTGTACCTTGTTATGAACTTGTGTCTGGCTTAGCTGGGTAATAGTGTCATTGAGCTTGGCCTGTTGCTGAGACAGGTATTTCTGGTAAAGTCCAAGCAGCTCCTGGCATTCTTTGTACTGCTGCTGCAGACCTGGACGAATGAGGTTAAAGAAGATATATGCAGCAATCTTCACTTACTGCTTAGAAGCCTAAAATCCTTAGCTCACAATGGTTGTCCTAAGTTAAGAGCTCAACTTTTCTGTAGAGAAACAACTTTTAACAACAGTGAAAAATCAAGTAAGAGCAACGTCAATTGGTTGTTAATGTTATTACACCTGTATTCTTAGTTCAAAACATTTCTTCAAAGTGGAAAAAAAATGTATTCACTAAAATAATCTTCAATCCTCTACAACCTGGCTTAGCTAAGCCAACCATCAATAGTAAAGAAAATAGCAAAGTTTAAAACATTGACAAAGAAGAGGCCAGCAAAATCAAAGTTGTTGTTGTGGCAAAGAGTTTCCACCATCTGGGTCGGGCCAAGCTGTGTTGAGCTGAGCTGGACAGTGCCGTGCCAGGCTATCTGCCAGACACAGAGCTGGCAGAGACAAGAAAACTAATCTGGAGCGGAACTACTGCTGCGCCTCAGGAGCCCACTAATGACAGTGGCAGCACCACACCAGCACATTCAAAGATAATGAGCAAGAGAATGAAGAGAGTACAAACAAAGACAACTCACACCGATGAAAAAACACCCCTCAGCTTAACTAACTTTTTTAGAACATACATACAAACAAAACACATACAAAAAAAAAAAAACTCAGAGCAGAACTTTCCCACATGCACTACACAAAAGCACACGCACAGATACTTCAATAAAAGGAAGTAGTGCACACACTCTCACCCAAGTCGACCATAAAGTATTACTCTAGGCTGTATCTTTTTTTATGATGGTGGCCCTGATCCCAAAGCTGATGAGTTTCTCAGCATTCATTTAAAAAAGAAAAAACTGTTTTAAAGAGAAAACCAAAGTTCAACATGAAGTCCTATCGAAGGATCAGTTGGCAGAACACTCCATAAGAAAACACTCTGGTTGTTAGAAGACTTCAATCAGGCTGCAAAATGAAACAGGAATAGAAAAGAGAGTACGGAGGACTTTGAATTGAGGGGTAGACACACAGACAAATGCAATCCAGCAGCTTTCATAAATATTGTTTGAAAGTATAAAAACGCTCTGATTGAACCCTCCGTGTGACTACGGCTGCCCCCACCACTGCACTGATAATGTCGGGGAAGTAGTTCTGTATGGAAGGCTTAAGGGCATCACAAGGACATCACATCATGTAAACCAGTGCTTTGAGGTTTATTTATGCAGCATAAATAAGGGTCATGAAGGAGAGGCCCTGGCTTCGTTTGTGTAACAACACTTTATCCCTATCTAAGATTCAGAGAGGAGTGGGAAAAAAAAGACCTGTTGTTCACAATTTGGCAGATTTGCATAGAGACCACTTCAATGTAGGAACTGATAAGACAAAATGTTTATTCCAAAAGTAACAAATGAATGCAAAACAAATCTTGAAGTACCATAAATAACCGTAACATGTCAGGTAGGTGTGTTGACAGATTCGCCAGGTGATCTAAGCTGCGTAGTAACCTGACTACTGATAAATTCTCTTTATTCTGCCTTCCTCTACACTTGACATCTTGGGCACTTCCAAAGCCTCAGATGTCAGCCAACACGGCCAAGCGTCCAGCAGAACCCCTACTTTATATCGCAGCTACACAATGAGTTACTCCTCCCCTCTGCTCCAAAAATACTCTGAATCAAGTGCTTGTGTTGTAGAGGCTTCAAACGGTGCCTGTCAAAGTGATTCACATCCCTGTCAAGCTATGGCTCAAATGAAATAATGAAATCCACTTCAAGGTGGGACAAATTTGCACAGGAGGGGGTAATATTTTAGAGCCTGTTTCAGCACAGCTTGCCAAACAGATTGAGTAGGAATGTGCGGGCAATTGGAGAACAGACCAATGTAAATGAACATGTGCATAAGGAAGTGATGACGGCAAATTAAAGAAAGACAGCTTACATAGCAGATTCAATACTGATTAATCTAAAGAGGATAAAGGATTCAAATAAAAATAAAATGATGTTCTCACAAGCATTCATTTCTAAAATGACTTAAAATACAATAACAAACAAAGCGGTTTGGGGGCAAATCATGTGACATGACATGAAGGAACATGACATATTGCAGTTAAATATTCACAATATACAAATTTGAAAATGAGTACCATTGTCACAATAACATATCAAATGTGATTCATTGTAACATGTTATTATTTACAAGGACCCTGTGATAGATTGTTCGAGTAAAACGGTGCACTGTTAGATGAAAACCATCTCCACCTCTGCCAATGCCAACATGCCTGTAAGTGCAAATAGTGCCCTTCCTTCATAAAATGAGATTCTTGCTCTATGTACCAATTTGTTTCAAATGTCAGCTGAAAACCCCAAATATCACAGGTCCTTTTTTCTCTCATCCTAGATGGCTCGTAGCTAAAGGTAAGGCTTGGCATTCTTTATATTCCTGACAACACTGAATCTTGGTTAGATAAGATAAGCCGAAGCGTAATGGAATTAGTCTTGACAAGACTCATTCGATGTGTTT